TAAACATTGTGTTAATAAATCATGAAAGTCTCAGATGAGGTCCTATTTTTAAAATGTAAGCTTTTCAAGAAAATTTTAATTACCTTTTACAAAGGTTAGTTGTAGATTTATTTATTTATTTTTTAAAAAACCCTCTTAGTATTGATGTTCTTGCGCTGGTCTGTCATGAAATCCATAAAAGGAATCTTTCCTTTAGAGTCATTACCAGTGGATTAATTCTTCTATGAGGGGGCTTATTAATATTCCTGAACCATACAGCATGTAGGATAAAAAAAAAGTATGATAGTACATCCATGTACAATTTCTCATCAAGTCAATAGAATTGTTACTCTATTCTAATAAATTTAATGAAATCTCTCAGTATTAAATTTGCTGTTTCCCCTTTTAACTTCTCACAGATTAACACATTGATTACTATGCCTTATCTCCCCCCTCCCAATTTGTATCCATTGTCACATGCTTGAAAATAAAACAAGAGCTAGATTAGACTGATGCTTTGCAGTCTGTGTATCTATCTAAGCATATTCTTAATATTAAATAATGCCATGAACTAATAATAATAATAATCTTCACCTTCTTGGAATAGTGCATACTAGTGCTATAGAGATAAATAAATTGCTCTTGTCATATTACAGTCTATTGTTATTAATATCAGCATATAAAATTGCAGTTAAATTGGTTTGAAATTCTTTGTAATGCTATATTTAAAGACTTAAAAAAACCAAGTCACCTTATCAAATAAAGTTATTTTCTTATGAATGTAGCCTAAAAGGGCTATTTATTCAAGCACAAAGGGATATCTGGAAAAAGAGTTCTACTGTTACCATCTTGAGGAACATACAAATGCACACAACCCTGCCTTGCTGTCTCACTTTTAATTCCTGCTGTAGAATACAATCTTCTGCTGTAAAAACAACTCTGAACATGATGTGATTAACCTTAGGGTCCCATCCCCTCATCTTAAAACCCACGTCGTACTTGGCCTGTGCTTTCTATTCATGTTCAACCATCTCATTTCCATATCAGCTTCTTCGCCCTCCCAAGCTGCTATTAGCATAACAGAGCTTTAGCATGACATTGATTGAAGCCTGCACTTGCTGAACACAGTATCAAAGCATAATTTGCCAGAAATCAAATCTAATTTACTATGTACAGTATTTACATCACTGTAAAACAGTGTTTCTAGGAAAAAGTGTCCCAAGCCTTTAATCTTAGAGTTTTGTTTGTTGTTTGTTTGTTGTTAATCTTGTCTAATTCTCTCAAAGTATGCAATATATTTTCCTTTAGAGCTGTTGCCTTTGATTTGCAAATGTCAATTACACATAGATGTTTTTATTCTGTTTTCCATGACCCTGTTAATGTTAGACCAGAAGCAATGAATGGCAAATTACTTGAATGCCAAAAACTTTGTTTATTGCACTGTAAATGTTTCTTTCAATATTTATTTTAATATGATGGATTTTTAAATAATTAGTATATATACTCATGCATAAGTCTAAATATGTAGTTGAAAAATTGATTTAAAAAAACCGACTTTCCTTATCCACAGGTCAATGTAGATATTATACTTTTATCATTTCATTTCATTTCATTCTCCAAGTATGAAATGAAATGAAATGAAATGAAATGAAATGAAATGAAATGAAATGATAAAAGCATAATACTTACATTGACCTGTGGATAAGGGAAGTCGAGGGTTTTTTTGGTTAGGGTTTCATTCTCCAAGTAGGAGCCTCTAGTGGTGCAGTGGGTTAAACCCCTGTGCTGGCAGGACTGAAGACCAACAGGTCACAGGTTTGAATCCAGGGAGAGCGCGGATTGGAAAATGATGGTGGCACATTATATCAAAATCCATAATTTTGGCCCCAAAACCTTTCTCAACTTATACATGAGGTTGACTTATATATATGCTAGATATATGTAACCTAGTCCAACTGTTATTTCTTATAGCTGTTTGGGGTTCTGTCCTGCATTTGTTTTGTGAAAGTAAAATACTTCACACAACCATCCTTTACAATTTAGAAATTATTCAAGCGTTTTGAATCCTGCACCAAGATTTGATCTTTTTTTTTAAAAAAAAATCTGACCTGGTGGAAGTGTGGGGGTCACTACTTAATTAGTAGGGCTGGGCGGTTTCGTTTCGTTAATTCGTAATTCGTTAAAAATTCGTTATTTTTTTTATAACGAAGCGATAACGAACCATTCTGGAGCAACTTAAAAACGAAACGAATTTTTAAATTCGTTTCGTAAATGCTTCGGATTCGTTATGTATTCGTTTCGTTATCGGTTTGAGGTCGTTTCGTTATTATTTCCGCATGTCTGGGGCAAGTTTTATAGTTGTTTTTTAGGCCTGTGCGGTTTCGTTCGTTATTTCGTTAATTCGTTAAACATTCGTTATTTTGGGCATTTCCGAAGCGATATCAAAACATAGTTTCAAACCCGGAAGGGTTTTAAAATATCGAAGCGTCAGCCCCATTGATTTAACGAGCTTCCGCTCGTTTCGTTAATGAAATGGAGGCTGCTGGTGCCTGGGAGCCATTCCGGCGCTCCCAGCACCCAAGTGCACCGTGGCTGCTTTTGATTGGCTGGCGAGCCCTTTAAAAGCGGCTCTGCGCGGCCGCGGAGCTCATTTGTAGCGCGGAGGCGAGGGAGGAGAGAGGTCTGGGAGGGCTGCTTGGCTTGCTTTGGGTTGGCGTGGCTGCTGGCTTGGCTTGGTTGGCTTAGTGAAAACTCTTCTGTTGGTGTGTGCTTAAGTTTTGGCTGTCTTTTGGCTGTGTTAGGTTTAGATTAATTATTTAGATCGTTTGCCCTGTCTCCTGCTGTTAGCTCTACATCAGGGCCAGCTATTTTCTAAAAATACCTTTCCTTTATTCTTAAAAAAAAAAACCAAAAATATTCCAAAAAAAGAAAGACTCTTCTGTTGGTGTTTGCTCTCACTTGCCCTGTCTCGTGGCTGTGTTTGGTCCACATCAGGGCCAGTTTTTGGTTAATTTTCCATTTCTGAATATTTTCTAAAAATACCTGCCTTTTATTGTTAAAAAATACAAAAAATATTCTAAAAAAGAAAAGACTCTTCTGTTGGTGTGTGCTCTCGTTTGCCCTGTCTCGTGGCTGTGTTTGGTCCACATCAGGGCCAGTTTTGGGTTAATTTTCCATTTTTGAATATTTTCTAAAAATACCTGTCTTTTATTCTTAAAAAAATACAAAATATTCGCTTTTAACGAATCGATTCGTTATTAATTTTAATATCGAATCGGATCGTAATTAATAACGACGTTTCGGAAACCGCTTTGCGCACGCGCGATCGCGACCGCCATTTTAACGAATCGATTCGTTATAACCTTAACGAATCTACCCCGCGCAAATAACGAAGCTTCGGAAATGTTTTTGCGCATGCGCGGGGGTCCGCCATCTTTACAAAATGTTTTGTAAATATTTACAAAATTTCGTAAATAACAAAACTTTTTTTGGGAAAGTTTTGTAATTATTTTAAATATCGAAACAAAAAAACACCCCAATTACAAATCGATTTTAGAAACAAATTTTTTCTTGATCAAACAGGCCTATTTGTTTTGTTTAATTAGTGAAAAAAAATTATAATATCACACCAACAGTCAACAACAGAGGGAGAGGGAAGCTTCAGAAGTTCCCCCTGTCCCATTTGGAGGTTTTTTAGCGTATTGCGCGGTCGCGTCCGCCATTAACGAATCGATTCGTTATTGTTTCGTATTTGTTTCATTAATGTTTCGTAATTTTTTTACATTTACGAAATTTCGTAAATATCGAACTTTTTAAAAGAAAAAAATTGGAATTCTTTTAAATATCGAAACGCAAAACCCCTCAAAAAACGAATAGATTTTAGAAACAAATTTTTCCGTTGTTACCCAGGCCTATTAATTAGTTATTTAATGCTTAAGCTGTCCAATCCATAAAATAAAGCCGTGGAAAGATGTTCATTATTAACTGCTTCATGTATGATAACTAATGTACATCAATTGCAGAAAGAACGGGAAGGGAGTTGCTGGAAAATGTGACTTCAGATAGTTTGTCTACTTCGGTTATACTATATTTTAACTGTATATTGTCCAGTATAATACATAATACTTCCAGATCAAAAAAAATAGCTGTACACTGTAATTATAACACTGATACTCAGATAATATTGCTAATGTCAGTTAATAAGTAATTCTGTATCTGTCTGAGACTACACAGATTCATTAAATAACTGTATCCCATTCCATCCTTGTTGTTTGAAATGGATCTAACCATTTCCCTTTTGGATTCCCTTCTGATTTAAGTTAGAGAATTTAAAAATTTAATTGTCAGAAATTGTACTTTTGCAGTAACCCACAGTTTTTAGATTATTTTTCTTTTGTGTCTTTTCACAGATTTCAGCTATTTAAAACACATCTGCACCTGATTAATACATCTCACAGAAATAAATTGTGGTGCAAATTAAACATGTACAAACAGATTTCTGCTTGCATAGACATTTGATCAATACCACTGTTTATTAATTAAATCATGTCATCAGGAGACAGTATCAAGACTTCTTTTTTTTTCAAAGTGACTAACCAGCAAAAACAACACCAGTTGAAAACTGAAGCACTTCATGTGTATTTGCAAAGTTCTGAATAAGTCTGGAAATCAATTTTTTCAGTGGTATGCCACAAAAATTACCTACTTTGCAATCTTGAGAAATTTGGATGGGAATAAATTTAGAATAATCCTCGTTTAAACTGTATGAAAACTTAGGTAGAATTTCTAATCCTTGGGTTGAATCAGTTGTCCTACCTAGAATTGACCCATTGAAATGAATGTATTTTCTAGCTCTTATTCTATAATACAATGTGGGTGACTTTTTCTGTCTTTAGAAAGTGTGTCTTCTTTTGACTATATTTTCTGGAATGTAAAAGCTGTCATTAAAGTATATTTGGATACTTTGTATTGCTTTTAAGAACTTTATTTTTAACACCATATTTTCACCTCTCACATCACAGCACCCCCACAGTTTGTGGTCAGGCCACGTGATCAGATTGTAGCCCAAGGCCGAACAGTGACCTTTCCATGTGAAACTAAGGGAAATCCCCAGCCAGCTGTTTTTTGGCAAAAAGAAGGTAGCCAGGTGAGTACTCTACATGTACATTTCTACTTTCACTTCTCTGTTATTACAGTCATACAGGGTGAGTCAGCATAACTTCCTTTTTTCAAAACTCAATAAAACCCATTGTATGAATCAGACATTTTTATTTTATAATGTGGGCGCATACCTAAAGTTTTGTTTTACGAAGATCAAATTAGGTAGGTGATGTCCCCCATTCTCCATACACTGAGTAAACCGATTTCTGGCATTTGTCATGAGTCCTGCCAGCATCGTAGGAGTTATGTTGGCAATTTCTTCCTGGATGTTGGTCTTCAAATCTTGTAGGGTCCTTGGACGGTTCACATAAACAAGGGATTTAAAAAAACCCATAGAAAAAAACACAAGGGGCCAAATCTGGAGAGCGGGCTGGCCACTCCAAATCCTCTCGAAAAGTAGGCCTCAACGGCAAAAGCACACTCCTCACTGTTCCAATGCATGATGGTGACTGGACTGTGACAGGACAAAACTTTATACTCCCGCCTCTTGAACAAGACCACTAGCGCTCCACTACGTCTTCAACTGACTGAATGGCACGCATTTTAAAAAAGGAAGTTATGCTGTTTGACCCTGTATGAACATATACAAATATTGCTCCATGTAGTTCATAAACTGAGGCATTCATCTATGTTTAATATATTTTTAAGCATCCTCCTTCCAAGGAACTTCATCATTACATCATTGTCATGTTTCAGCAATTTAACGTTCTGGGAATATTACAATGGTGACTACTTAACACTGCCACAAAGACCCTGGTTTTTAATGAATAAATAGGTCAATTGGAGTGATTTCTATGGGTTCCATGTGAGAAATGACATTGAAAACCCCACGTCAATTCTGCAATGCCTTTGTTTAGGTCTGCAATGCAACCATTCTTGGCTTGCTAGCTATCCATTTCAAACAGGATATTGAAAAACTAGAAACATTCAGAAGAGGTTGCGTCATCCGTGAATACATGTTATCGTATTAAGGTCTGCAGCTAAGAACCAGGACAGCCAGATCTGTGATACAGAAAGTTTTTAGTAGTTTTCAGTATGAGTGCATTTTGGAAAAATGGCCACTTAGGGATATGGGGTGAAGCAGTAAAGACACATCACATAGAAAGAGAAGGGCTTTCTTTTACATCAAAATGAACACTTTAATACACAGGAGGATGCAATGACCAGGATCCTTAGGATTCATAGAAGTTTAAATTGCCCTCACACTTTTTAAATCTTCACATTTTTGACACTGAGACTTCATTTTAGAGCTATTAAACTTACCTGTTGAAAGAAAAACAATGATTTGTGCACATTTTTTGGAATCCTGGTCCACAGCTTTAATCATATATCCTTTTGAACTCAGTAAAAGTAAAACAGTAATTGTCAACAGGAGTGAAGTCAAAATAATGACTACACACTTCGATGACCCAGCAGCTCGGTATTGTGAGTTCGCACACCACTTTGCAGGCAAAGTTGCTCAGATACGCCTTGAGCTTGACTCCAATTTCATCACAGTGCCAGAAGAGGTGATTGAGGCATCTGCTTGTCCAATTTTGTGGGATTCTTTTAGGCTTGTTCTTCCTGAGACCGTGGAAGAGGTCCTTGGGGCTGTGAGGGCGACCACGTCGGCTCTAGACCCTTGCCCGTCTTGGCTAATTAAATCGTCCAGGGAGGGGTTGGTTGATTGGTTTGTGTTGATCATTAATGCATCGTTGGAGCAGGGGTTTTTTCTATCTCAATTGAAACAAGCTGTGGTTCGTCTACTCCTTAAAAAGATCTCCCTTGACTCCACAGTGCTGAACAATTTCAGACCAATCTCCAACCTCCCTTTTTTGGGTAAGGTGCTGGAGCGGGTGGTTGCCTCCCAGCTCCAGGGCTTTCTAGATGACATCAACTACCTAGATCAGTCACAGTCTGGTTTCAGGCCTGGTCACGGCACCAAGACAGCCTTGGTCGCCTTGGTGGATGACCTCTGTAGAGAGCTGGACAGGGGCAGTGTGACCTTGTTGATTCTCTTGGACATCTCAGCGGCTTTCGATACCATCGATCATGGTATCCTTCTGGGTCGACTCTCTGGGATGGGTCTCGGTGGCACGGTTTTGTCGTGGCTCCGGTCCTTCCTGGAGGGTAGATCCCAGATGGTGAAGCTGGGAGATGCCTGCTCAGACCCCTGGCCTTTGACCTGTAACGTCCCACAAGGCTCTATCTTGTCTCCCATGCTCTTTAACATCTACATGAAACCGCTGGGAGAGGTCATCTGGAGTTTTGGAGTTAGGTGCCCCCTCTATGCAGATGACACACAACTCTATTACTTATTTCCACCCAACTCCAAGGAGGCCTCTTGGGTGCTGGACGAGTGCCTGGCCGCTGTGTCTATCT